TTAAGTTGATTTCTGTTAGAAAGTTTTCTTTTTCAGCTTTCTTTATGATGATAAATGTGTCATCTACATATCTGTACCATATTCTAAGATGACAACTAAAACTTTTCAATGCTTTCTTTTCCAGGGCTTTCATATATAGGTTTGCTACAATTGCAGATGCTGGTGAACCCATTGCAACTCCATTTGTTTGACAGTATAGTTTGTCTTTAAAGGTGAAATACGTAGATTCTAAACAAAGTTTTAAGCATTTTATAACTTCATCTATTGATAATAAAGATTTAGTTAATACTTATCGATTGTTTTCAAGTTCACATTTCATAATATGAAGTGAATCGCATATTGGAATACTAGTAAATTGAGAAATCATATCAAAAGTTGCCATAATTTCGTCTTTTTCAATAATTATGTCCATTACTTTCCTTTTAAACTCCTCAATATTTTTAATGTTCGAAGGAATATTGTATTGAAATGGTTTCAGTATTCGTGATGTGTTTCGATAAAGTATTTGTCATTGAACTGGTAAAATCAATTACTGATCTTAAAGGAACATTTATTTTATGGATTTTCCGCCTTCCATACAATCTCGCTGCCGTGTTTGTTTTGGGAGCTATTGAAAACCAAACTGAATTCCCTAGTTCTGGTTTCAGTTCTCTAAGTAGATTGCATATTTGTGCTTTTACTTTGTTCATAGTACTAGACATTTTGTTTATTGGTACTAATGCGTCTCGATTTGATTCTCTTAGAGACTCCAGGATTAATTTAAATAATTTATAATGAATCAGTCTGACTCGGCACTCAAATTATTCCAGGAAATTACTCCAGGAAACCTACGCTCTGGAAACTTATATCAATAGATTCTCCTCAGGATGCAAGATAAAGAAGTTACGAGAATATCTTTGACTGAAATTTGAAAATATCGATTTGTCTGCATGTTATTACTTCTTTGCTTTCTGAAAGAACAAAATCTGACTGACGGACCTTCTTCTTACGATGCGACTATGCTAACATTCAGCTGCACAGCCAATATCCTGTAGTTCATGAATTCTAACTTCTGTCATTTCTCAAGGTAGTTAATTTTGACTCAGTGAAATGTGTAACAAGACGGACACAAACTCGGAAGGCACACGTACTGATGCTTTTACTCAATGTAAGTCATTATTTTTATTTCAAGATATGCTACAACTTTGCAGCTTTCTATGTTTCCCGCGAAGAAGGTTCCACTGTGGTAGAGTCCGCTGAATTTCTGTGCTTTAATTATCCAGCTGACCTCACGCTGAATTTATGCTATTATTTAAACTAAAATACTCTGTTCTGTAGAGTATAATATACAATAATATTATATGTAATATAATATATATAATATACCCAATAGACGAAGTAATATGGAATTGTTTAGTGAGGTAATAAGTGAGTTCCAGACAATATTTATATTGGAACAAGACATAAGCGAACAATATTGTTGTTTTCAATTAGATCTTCCCTAATTTACATAGATTTATATATAAAAAAATTTTAACCAATGACGGTGATTTTGTGGATCAAATAATAATAATAGTGTGGTGAACGTTTTGAACGTAGTTAATAACGATGCTTATAATGATAACAAAATATAGATAATTAGGATTTTGCAGGTGGTGATAAGAATAGCAAAGGTAGTAATACGTGTGTATGTAGACAATTCAATAAATAAATTGGGTCAAATCTTAAAAATTACTTAATACTGAAGGTGAAGTAGACAGATAATCTGAGTTTAAATAATAAATATCATAAAAGTACGAAGGAGGTGGAAAATAAGAAAGGGTGGGAGGGTTTTGACTAGAATTCACCTAGGCCAAGGGAGAGACAAAGGTAGAACAAACTTCTTTTGTATGCAAAGACTAGGATTGTTCTCTCAAATTAATTCTCATAGCTTCGGCTATGTGTAAAAGACGGATTCGAATTCCGTTCAAAAGGCTCGATGGAATGCGATAGATAACTTTGAAGGCACTACTTCTGTCCACTTGGTGACCGCTATCAATCAAATGAGACAAAATAGAACTTGGTATAGATTTTATTTGACCTTTTCCGAACCATGAAGTACGATGCTCATTAATGTATTTGTGAACCTTTCTAGTTGTTCGCCCTATATAGCTCTCTCCACAGGAGCAACTAAATTTATGGATACACACAGAAGTGGCACAGGTAGGTGGCTTGTCTTTCACTTGAGTAATCATAATTGGTCGGCTGGAAAATGACAAACAAAGGGTGGTGGCATTATAAGTCCGTTTTATCGCTCTCGATAATCTCAGATGTGAGATTTCATTAGCCACATCCTCATTAAATTTCAATTTCATGAACAGATGTTTCTTTTTAACTGTTATCAGTTTCTCTTTATTATACCTGGTGCTCAGGCGTCTCCTTACAAATCTACTAGGATAACCCATTGGGACCAACGTATTTTGGATGTATCCTAACTCATTTTCTAGGGAGTCATCTGTACAGATCCATCTCGCTCTATTCTTTAAGCATCTGACCAAATTGATTTTGTATCGGATTGGTACAAAACTGAAGGAATGTGTATATTGTCCTACAAATGTAGGTTTTCTATAGACATCCCCCTTGAGTGAACCATCCTCTATTCTGCTCAATTGGACGTCAAGGAAATGTAATCCACCATCATGTTCTTCTTCACAAGTGAAGATGAGGGATGGATGTGGATCATTAAACTTTTTTAACATTTCATTCTTGTCAGCTTTCACATCAAGAATAATAACAGCATCATCAATATAACGAAAATAAGAATCAGTTTTATCTATTACTTGTTACAATGGACCATTTTCAAGCTTAGCAAAAAAGAAGTCTGCCAATATTGGCCCCAATGGAGAACCCATGGCCATACCTTCGATTTGTCCGTAATAAAGGTTGTTGAATATGAAGTGTACATTCATAGTACATCTTCAAAGCAACTCTTTCAAACTAATAACTGGAATTCTGATGTCGAACTGTTTTTCTAGTATCTGTTGGCATATGAATTCCACAGTCTTCATAAGTGGTACATTGGTAAACAGTGATGCTACATCTATGGATAGCGTTTGCTTCTCATTTACATTGAAATCACCCACGTTAGTGATAAATATAAAAACGTCTTTAACACTATGATTTACCACCATCTTGTGTAACGGTTGGAGGAGTTCACCTTCACGCTTTAAGGTCATGCAGCCAGTCCCCTTTATTACTTTGAATAAAAAGAGATAATAGGAACTCCTTTAATTTCGTGGATTCTCTTCAACTGCGTACATCCTGAATAAATCAATCGTAACATATTACAAAATTTCTGAACACACTTTTTATTATGATTTCAAGTTATATATAGAGAGTAAAAGCAGCATAATTTGAAAGATGATGTGAGTAGACAATTATTCAGTGTTAAAAGAGGATGGTTACTTCGGTTCGCAGAAGCCACTGCCATCAAAAGACTACAACTCAACCTATGCATACAGAAAGAGAGTGTGACTAATCTCTTACTACCCTATCTCGTAACCATAACTGTTTTGTTCGTGTGCTTTTTTGTTTTGTCCCATTGCATACAATTCCACTCAATCTTGATTTTGATTTATTGAGTTGAACTCACTTTTAAGGTACCAAATCTACTAAATTAAATTATTTTATCTATTTTATTATTTTACTTCACCATTCACCTGCATTCTATTGAAATCTTCACCATAATATGCATAAATTAACCCTGTTGTTCTATCCTGCATTTTGTATCTACTCTATCCTTATTTTCAAGAGAAATCTGAACTCCACCCATTTGTCTAATAACTATATAAACAGTTACTCGAGAAGCTTTCATTGCCCTACGTCTTGAGCGCATACTTCAGTTTGAAGTGAACTTTTAGATTTCTCCACGAGTTTATTAGTCATCTATCCTGGTGACCAGAAGAAATCCAAAAGGTCACTTCAAATTGAAGTATGAGATGAAGATGTTGCCTAGAAGGGCAATGAAAGCTTCGCATATAAGCGAACCAGCTCAAAGAAAGCAACTAAGCTGAGCTGCAAATCTTCTCCATTTTGTCTAAATGCTTACTCTTTTAACACTAAATAATAGTCTGCTTACATCATTTTTCAAATTATTTTGCTTATTTTGTTATTTTTTTGATTTACAGCTTGATTCCACACCGTATTTTCAGTACAAGTATGGAATTTTCAGCATGGATATCGGTAGCCCAAATTCAGGCCGACCATAGATGTCGGGTGTGCGCCGGCAGGGGATCGAACCCTGGACCATGTGCATGGTCGGCGAGAGTCCTAACCACTGAGCCACCGACGCAGTGTAGACTTGAAATCATAGTAAAAGGTATTTTCGGAAATTTTGTAATTTGTTATTATTGCATTTTTGTTTCCTGTAATTCCTAGAGGAACATAGGGCTTCAGTCGCACGTCTACACTGCACTTGGTTCTCTGCCAACGTTTTCACCTGGCTCCACGTCTGCCCATATGTTTTCATCCCCTCTTCACATGACCTCCTCCATGTCACCCTCGCACTGCCCACCAACTCGCCGCTTCCCTATTCGGTTTCCACTCGAGAGAGAGCCTGGCGAGTGATGTCACTCGCTCGATGGTTATCTCAGAGTATGTCCAATCCACCTCCATTTCTTCCTGCATATTTGTTGCACAGCTGCTTCTTGGTTGGCTGGTTCCCAGAGATCCCTCCCTATTGCTAATCTTTTCCGGCCACCTGATCTTGAGTATTGTTACGACTGATTTATTCAGGATGTAGGCAGTTGAAGAGAATCCACGAAAGAAAAGGAGTTCGTATTATCCTGCCAGTATGTTCGTTCTTTCTTTCTTCATGTAAATGTGTTCCGAATTTTAGAAATGATAAGTGGAAGGGATTGAGATAATCCTACTTGTGGATAAAACCACAAGAATGGTAGTGTGGAAAATGAAGACAGTTGCAATTTTTATGACAGAAAAACAAAGACAGACAGACATAAATACTCAACTATCTACTCGCTTACCTTGTGAGTTTCTCCTTGATTTGGTTGAATAGCAACTGAAGACGGAGATGATGGAGGTAACTGGTGTAAGAATAAAAAATTTGTAAAAACCATATCAGCTAGTATGAACAGATAACTTTAAAATGTATAATCGTACTTGACAAAAATGTAAAACAGTGAAGATTTATAAATCAGATGAATGTTTTTTGATGTCATTGTGTCCTCTCAACTAGATTATAGAGTTGTTAGGCTAAACAATCTTGTGAAATATAAATACGTTTCTTAAAAAGGCAATTAAAGCCTTGCAGTTGAAATATGTAGGTATGAAGAGAAAAGTCTTCTCTTACAACTAATCATAAGGATTTCCGGTGAGTCTATCAATACAGAAATTACTACTAAAGTTTAATAGTTCAAGGTGGTCTTCAATTAATTTACTGCATGAAATATAATCTACACTGTCATAAGAATAAGCTCTATTTTATCAAGTATACAGATTTCTTATAATCCGGAAATTCCTTATAAGAACCACTGGAAAACCTGTGAGTAGTGTACAGCTGTTTCGTCCTTGTCTTTGGGACTCCTCATCAGTACACACCTACCATCACGGTTCGAACCCACGACCATTTGATTACAAGGTGAGATCGTAGACCATTAAGCCACTGCAACCCGACCCAACTGTCAGCATATGATTCCCAACTTCTATAAATTCATGACAACATGACCGCTAGCCAATGTCTTCAGCGAGTATTTGTCCTGGCGGATATAGCGTTGAACTTGTCACTGTGACTTATATTCTAACTTCACTTGCAGTAATCTGCTTGTTGAATTTCGGTTACATTACATAATATACATATTTGCGAAGAACCCTGTGGTAATGCTAAGCTCCATCGGTAAACTGATCTGTCAGTAGAACGACCAAAGTATTCTGATATTCGTCAGGATCTCAGAAAACCGAAAGTCTTCGTTACGATGACAGCAGCAGCAGATGGGAGACAGTTCTAAAAAAACCTCACGTATGTACTATTGCAAAGCTTCAGAAAAGAAAGAACCGCTATAAAAATGAGTAAATTTCGATTCTCTCCATTCAAAATCGTCTAGGTATTGGAAATCATTGTTTCTTCACTGATTTATAGAACACGATTTAAGCAAGTGAATACGCCTTTTCGGTAAACTCTCACCAGGCTTTACAATGATATAACAAAACATTAGTCATGGATATTCGCAACACGGTGGAGCAATGGAATTAAAAACATTCAAAGAGAATGTAAGCAGAATAATGATGATAATGAAGTGTGAAACTAATATTAAAACATGTAGCTATAGCAGAGCATGTTACTGATAATAAAGTGAACAGTACAAATAAAAATAAAATTTATAGTCATCCGGTGTCACTGGGAAACACAACTGCTCTAGGTTAGAGTTAAAGGTCATTAGGGGGACTGAAAAAACTTTCCCTAAACCCACAGACTGGACAGACAGTTTTTCGGTAACTACCTAGAATTGAAGTAACCGTTTGCATAGGACTGTAAAGGCAGAATTTTTATCAATTTTGCGATGCGTACCCACAAGGCATGCCAACATGGAACTCCTGATTTACTTTACCATTCCTTCGCCTTCTCACGTTGAACAATCCTCAAGGAAGCGATTGTGAGTTCGCTGAAGAGTTCTAACTGTGCCACTGTCTCCAAAAAATTAGTCAAATTTATAAATGCGCATTGAAGTAGCAGGGTCCCAGTGGCTGAATGGTACACGAGCTTGCCTTGTAACAGGAAGGTCCTGGGTTCGAAACCCGATGGTGGGGTCCGAAGCTATTTGCGTCGGTGGTATAGCGGTTAGGATGCTCACCGATCATGCACATGGTCCGGGGTTCGATACCCGGCCGACGCACTCCTGTACCTCGCTAAGCCAGAAATAGTGCTGGTGAAGAGGAAAGGTTGAGCATGAGGCTAGTAACCTCATCCTGTAAAATAAACAATGCTACAGAAACTTCAAGCCACTAGCTTGAAGCCCTATGTTCCACTGGGAACGTGAAGGAAAAAAAATGAAGTAGCAAGACCCGATAGTTTATCCTTCGTCGTCGTTGGAATTATGCAAAGAGGGTGTATTTAAAAAATTGTTTTGCGGTAAAGAATGTTTAGGCTTTGATTATTCGGAGTTTCTATTCTTCCAATTCAATGACTTTGTCTCTTTTGACTGACAGTCAAATATTTATACTTTTCTTTTACGCAGCGGCGGCCTGCTTAAATACCTGAGCTACCGGATTTTTCATCCATCAAAATGCTTAAACACTTATGCACTTCTTATTGTTTCAATCGTGCAATTATATCGCATGACCAATTCGTGAACTTGTGAGCAAGTTTAATTAGTTTCTTACTGTACTCTACACACTTTTTGAAAGAATTAAACAAAAAATATACAGAACCAATTCTGTCTCCATATGCAGCATCACTACGACAAATGATATACTTTAAATTATCGCTTTACACGTAAATTCTGTATGAATAGAAAATATTTTGGAACTAATTAAGCTAAAAATTGCTGCATCATATTTCCGCATATTGTCGTTGTCGTCATTAGTTTGCAGGCATTTATCTCTATCTGCTGCCATCATGAAAACATTACCGATTCTTTCTGGATATCCATTCTCGTCAGATAAGTTTTCTATTTTTCTCTATTTCATTGTCAAGAGTATTAGTTGTGCTGATTTTTATAGCGTGGAATATATAAGCCTACTGTTGAGATTTCATTAGAATATATAAGAGGAACAGATGACTTGAAGTCAGCGTATTGGTCGAGCGATGGTATTTTCCGGAAATACCCAGCTAGATAATGCTATCTTGCCTTCTTGTTAACAGGACACCAAGAAATAATAAAGTATTTTCTTTTGCTGTTTCGTATTTAAACTCACTTTGTGAGTGGGTCAAATGGAATATGTTGAGAAGAACCTCGGTATCGGTTTTATCCATATGAAAGATAAAAATATCAGTAACTTGAATATTCCCATAATTCATTTAAAACACAAATAGTTAGAGCAAACAACTGCGTTCATTTAATTCTTCTTCAGGCTCTACAACTATAAATCCATTAATTTAAGCATCGAACAGCCAGTAAAGGCAAATTAGAATCATATGAAAAATTAATTGTGGACGAAGTATACGATGGGATGGAACAATAGTCAGTTAGTTTTTTTTATTGTCGTTTGGAATATGCATGATGAGTAAGAACATGAGATAAAATGAGGTGAAATAATTTAATGATATATATATATATATACATTCAAAAAAAGCACAGGTTTTCAGGGTGAGAGTAATCAGATATGTGTAGGAGACAATATCAATACTACGGAAAATAAACCAACGAATGGGGTTGACTAGACATACGTTTAATGGTGAAAATAACGACAACAATAGTAATTGTTAAATAATAACTGCTCATACGGAGCTGGTTACATTGGTCATTTTACAGAGGGCTTTATCCATACGCGTAAGTAAAAATTTACAGGAGCTGGACTACATATTATATCACTAGCTGAAACGATTACAATCGATACCAGAAGACTTCAACTTTATATACAGGAGAAGTATGTTCAGCCACTATGTTTACATTGGTCTACAATGAGGCCAACAAGTCCTCCTTAAACATTAGTATTTTTAATTATAATCGCAATTTTTCTCTTCTTTTCCTTTGTTTCATTTGACAGACGTTCATCTCTGACCTTTTACAACTTCATGACCTTTCTTATTATTCCTATCACCTTTGGTTTAAGTAAGGCTTTAACAACTCGTTCTAAGTTTCCATCATATTTAAAAAATCCTGTTCTTTTCACTTCACTAAATTGATTATTAATAACTGATAATCTTTCATTAAATAGCACATCGTTTCAACTACAGGCGTAACTGATGAGGATATCAAAGCAAGAATCGGAAAAGCAAGACAAACTTTCACTACTCTCAAGTCTGTGTGGAGGTCAACAGCACTCAGCATCAAAAATAAGATCCCGATTTTCAACTCCAATGTGAAGTCAGTCAGTGCTACTATACGGATCAGAGACTTGCACTGAGCGTCATAAAGAGCATCTCAAACAAACTACACACCTTCATTAACAGTTGTCTTCGCTCAATACTCGAGATCAGATGGCCGGTCAGAAAAGATCAGCAACAGAGATCTCTGGGAGCGAACCAACTTAGCAGGAACCGATTGTGAAACAAATAAGCAGGAGGAAATGGAGGTGGATTGACCATACTCTGAGGAAACCATCAAGTGACATCACTAGACAAGCCATTGCTCGAGTGGAACCCGAAAGGGAAGTGGCGAGTTAGTCGTCAGTGCAAGGGTGACTTGGAGGAGGTCATGTGAAGAGGAGATGAAAGCATGTGGCAGACTTAGGGCCAGGTGAAAACTCTAGCAGAGAACTGAACGCAATGGAGAGGTGTGTCTGAAGCCCTATGTTCCTCTAGGAATTAAAGGAATCAATATTAATAATAAATAATACTTTTTAGTTTACACCACATCATCATTATTATTTAACAATCACTATTACTGTCATTATTTCCACTCCATTAGTTGGTTTTTTTGGCTGTAGTATTTGTATTGTCTGGCACACCACTGATTACACTCACTCTGGAAACCTGTACATTTGTTGAGTGCAAATATAAATATGCATGCAAATTATGAAATAATTTCATCTGATGTTCTCATCAATGAAGGATATTAGAAACTAACCGAATGTTGTTCCTTCCCATATTACACTTATTCGACAGTTCATTTCAGATATGATTCTAATTTCCCTTTACTGCCTGTTCGATGCTTAGATTAATGGATTTATAATTGTAGAGCCTGAAGAAAAATAAGTTCGCTATTAATATTTGTGTTCTGGATTCGAAAAATATCACCCACGCATCTACAGTAGAACGGGAGTTCGTCGATTACATTTTCAAATAGACAATTCTCCCATTTCGCCATAAAAAATACAGACTAAGACAGGACTCTTCGAAAGCGGCGTAGCTACGCCACCCACTTGGTGATATATTTTTTTGTTAAGCTAATCGCCATGTGAAAATAGTTATTTCCCCCCTCTACTCATACTAGTAGACACATTCTACTTGATTATATTTAATTCTATTGATCCACATTGTTTCAAATGCCTATCACTAATATTTTATTATGTAACAGTAAAGCCCGATGAGAATTTACTTAGAATGCGTATTTACTTGCTTAAATCACGTTGTGTAATTATCATAATAGGACTGTGAATAAAGCAAGAACAACAGAGGTTTCTGCAGAATAATAAACTACCTTCACCTATGTCGTTGACTTCTCATCAGCTGCTCACAGCCTAAATAAATAATTATTAAGTTCATCTACAGAAAAGTTTTAGCATATTTGCAAATTCTACATGATGTCAGCTGACCGGAGTTTCCAGACGTAGTGAGCTGTGCTTGAAAAATTACGCTTATATAGTTTTCACATAGGTAGTTCAAGTTTAAAGACTGTAAATGTATGCTAACAATCGTGAAGGTGTTACGTAATTAAGACGAGAGTTTAGCACACTGATGAAGAACTTAAAAAACTAGGTAACAATGTACTGCGTTAAATTCAAATAATAGAAACAAGAGATAAGCGAAATTACTCTATTATCAAAGGAGGATGTGTGGTTAAAGTCAAAGATTACGTTATCAAATGAGAGGGAGAGTAAAGATATCCAGTTATCAGGACGGCAAGGAAGGACTGATAACTGCTTCTTTCTGAAAACATGAATCTGGTTTCAGAAGACTGATGGAAATTCCTTCGGTAAACTTGAGGAGAACTGAGCCTTTTCAGTCTGTTGATAATTTTAAAGGATTTCATGACTTCCACCTCATGACTCATATCAAGGCGATGCCTGGTAACGGCACTACTGTAAATGTTTTTTCCCTGAGATATAGGCTTTTCTGGACATGTTCAGAAAATCGGAGGTGTGCCCTTTTTCTTTTTGTTCTCCCAATGTAACTGCTCCCGCAGATACACGTAAATTTGCAAACATGGTCGGAGTTAACATGAAAAGGGTATCTATCGACTTTTGACTGCACCAAAGAGCATGTTGTCCAATAGATGGGAAGCAACTTAGCTGCAGGATAGGCTCTCGTTAGTGACTTACCCAATTTTCTGTTGACTTTTGCTGCAATATTTTCACCATTAAAATCAGAGTGAATAAAGAGAGGCATTTTTCCCACTGTGATTTGTTTTAATGTTTCAGCCTTTACGTCTTCCATATTTGTTGGTAAATTCCCAAGGGTAGGCGTTCCTTTCTTTCTCTAATTTCTCTGTAAAGCATATTCTCTTAGCTCTACAGTACAGAGTCATGACTAGTGCACGTTTATAGCTATTTAGACAATAATTATTAAAGTGTAAGCATTGTCCATTCCAAGTTGGCTTTTGGTAAATTAACCTCTGGAGACAACCATCTTCCACACGTTGCACAGCAATGTCAAGGAAATGGAATTTTCCATCATTTTCATGTTCCACAGGAAATTAAATATTTGTATGTGCGTCGTTGAACAATCCGAGTAGGCGGGAAGCATGACTTTCACTGATGGACGCTACAAATGTGTCATCAACATATCAACAATAAGAGGTTGTTTCGTCGATGGCATGCTTCAACTTTGTTTTCCCAAAAGTGGTTGGACATAAGGACATCTGCTAAAACTAGGCTAAGTCTTTAAATGTTTTTTAAATTACTCTTCTGTGATTGAATTTAAAGCACGTTACATTATCATTACCAGCATAGGGGAAAAATTAGAAACAGAAATGTAAACTACTTACAATTATACGAAACGGTACAGCCTGTTCGGTGTATTTAGCCTTCAATCTTGCCTGAAAAGGTGATAAATCAGAATCTTTCAATGATTGACTAAATATTCCAAAAGGTTCATTATTTGTCTGATTATATTTCATTTCTTCTTCTGTTTTTGTCGTTGTTGTTGTCTTTGTCGTCGTTGTTGTTGTATCAGTTTTCTTCTTTTTCTTACTACGCTTTAATCTTCTCCATTTTTTATGCCATTTAACATCACCAGTTTGTGATTCTGTTTCATGCACAAAATGTGTTGGCCATAAATGCTGTGTATAAATTAATATCTCCTTTTGAAAGGTTAAACCGAGCACATCTAAATCATCTCGACCATAACGATATGCACAAGTTAGTATGAGGAAGACATGATCAGTATTTTTAACATCTTTGGATATAGTTAGAACACCATCTAGGTAAAAATGAGAAAATATATTTTGAAAGACGAAATTAGACAGTAAATAGGCTGAAATATTTGGAAAATATTGAAGTAATATGGAAGGTAATAAATCACATTCATAATCTGCAAATTATTGTAGCGATTCGCAGGTGTAAATAGTTTCAGGGGTGGGAGGAAGTTTTAATCTTAGTTTCATTCAGGAACCAAATTATTCAGAGTACAATAATTGACCTGTTTGGTACCATGAATGGTAATCAAGAAGGCGACCATATTTGCATTAATTTATATACTACTAATTAACTGAGATGAGTAATTGCTTATCAATCAAATAAACCAGCAGTGCGTGCTAACCAGCCAGATCGAGGTGATCTAAACAACGGGCGGCCGTTTCCCTCGTTTGCAGCCGATCTCATCAACAGTGTCTACTTTACCTGGCTAGCAAGCACCATTAGCTGATATGGGTAATACACAATTATTCATCCCAGGCAGTCACTCTGAATTTTATCAACAAATGCTTTCATATTACCTGAAATGTACTCATCAATATTCTAGTTTTGAGGAACTTGGAGTGGTTCACCTGCGCTAAAGGAGCTATAACTTGGTCACTCTTGGATAAAATATGATCGGTTCACTTCGATCACTCATTTTTTGACTATAGCTTGATTTCACACCGTATTTTTGGTACAAGTATGAAATTTTCAGCATATGATATCGGTAGCTCAAATTTTGCAGGCCGACCTATTGATATCAGGTGTGCATCGGCTGGAGGTCGGACCCCGGACCATTTGGATAGTTGGTGACGCACTTGTTCTAAACACTTCACTGAACCCTGATTCAGGTTTTTTGTGTTAGAAATCAGGTATTTACTTGAAATTCAGAATTCGTTTCCACGTTTCACTTAACCGTTTCCCAGAAAACACTCATTGACTCACACAGTTCATGATATCTAACCACATAATCCTACCACTAAACTTGTTATATTTGCCTAATCTAGATGATTGAGATATAGCGTAGTTGAAACTATTGAATGGCATTTTCATTTCTATTAGTATGTGTTCTTAAAATACTGCTGACGGTTTTCGCTATCAATAAGAAATTGTAGTTTCAATAGCTTCATTTCACGTGAAACTAGATTGCGCCAACACAGATTAAACTAATGTTTCACTTGCCATTTCACACATATATATACGGTGTATTTCGGCATTAAATGTCAATAGTATTTTTCCTTCTCTTTTTATTTACCCTGTGAAGATGCGTTAATTGTCGATAAATCATAGTAGCTAGGCATTTTTGTTGAACAGTCGGTAATTACATTATCCTGATATTTAGTCAAAAACATATTGTAACTTTATCTAACATTTATTCTACTTGTGTTTTTCCTCTTCCACTAGCCGGTGTTCTCTCTATGTTCCATTTTTATTAATGCAACCGGGAAAGGAGACTAACCTTGTGAATAATGCAAACTATAAAATCTCTCATATTTCACATGTTGATGTTATGGAAATTCAGGTAAGCTATGAGACGTCACCTTACACACCTTGTAATCTACAATCTTATTTGTTTCCCTGTTAATCTCATAAATTACACACATTGTATCCTTCAATGGATAGTCTGAATATGATAGTGAACAATGAATCATGTGACAAACATAATCGAGTAAATAGTTCAGGCTAATTATGTTTACATCATTTCCAAAGATGTGCCACTGGAACTAGAAATTTTACATAACAAATTACGTAATGTGGGAAGCGTTAGTCAGGTAGAAACTAAAACATAACTAAGTAAGTAGAGTGACGCAGTATAACTGAAGGGATTGGGTAGAGCTCAGGTAAAGTTAAAATTGAACATAAGTCAAGTTAACAACAGTGGCAATAAGGGGCAGAGATCTAATAGCGCGGTGGGTAAGAAAATAATACAAATAAGAAACAAAAGATTACGTATTTTGGTGTTTAAGATAGATGAGGTCCATTGTAGATTTAATGACTGAACAAACTTCTTCTTTTGCTCGCAGAGTTCAGGATTCGACATGTGATGAATCGCCATTGCTTCTGCGAGATTCCCATGTATTCTGTAGATACTTTTGAAATTGGTTTGTCCGTTAGCTTGGTTTCTTGATTCGATCAGGTGTTCTAGAATAGAACTGCACAGTGAGGGGGTCTTCTTCCTCCTATAAAAAGCCATGTGACTAAGTGTTCGACGACACATCTGGATAGCGAACGTTGGGTATGGCCGACACACCTAGCTCCACACGAGGTAGCGAATTGGTAGATGCATACTGATGAGACCAACAGTGTTAGCTTATCCTTTACAATCTACAATGGACCTTATCTATGTTAAACACCAAGTAGGTGATTTTTTGTTTCTTAATTGTATCACTTTCTTCCCCCACCACCCATTAAATTTCTAGCTATTATTGCCACTGTTGAAATTTAAGTTGAATTCTACCCAACTCCGTTAATTATATTACTTCACTCAACTTACTTAATTTTTCTATCATATTAGATAAACGAATGAACATGGTAAAAGTTGTGTTGTTTTAAACATATTCAATGTATTTTATTTTATTTTTACCAGCGATACTGAAGGTCACATGGTAACATATTTTCGGAAGTCCTCTTAAAAGACTGTACACATAAGAAGGACCCAGAGCCCATGAAAAATAATAAAAACATTTTGCTAGCTAAACGCCGGTTTCGATGAATCCTTGAGCAAATCGTCTACCTATGGTTATCCACGTAGACAAAGAAAGTACTATAGAGGAGTCCAGGTAATCCAAATGCATTGCATACCATAAAAACACAAATAGTTGCTAATTATCCTCCAAACTTGTTATGTTTCCATTTATGATAAGTACCAGAATTCAAAAACTATCGCGCTTAATTTGTATTAAGGGGCAATAAGTCATCATCGCTAGAAATACTGCAAGCCTACATGAATAATTTCAGTTTCTAGCATGAAGTTACTTTGCTCAAAAATGATGGTAATTTTGTAGAAAGAAAAACAGGCTTCTTCTTCCCGCTTTAGAAGATAAAACTGTTTAAGATATTAAATCATGTGGAAGACGTTTATTGGTATTAAGGCGCAAAAAATGTTATTCAATCATCCAAATCAGGGATTTCAGATCACTGAGCAAGTCTCATTCCTATCAACCATAAACTTAACAAATTGTTATGTAGAGTTATAAGTTAACACTGTCTTCTTTCTCCTCGTTCTGTGCTGTGAAATATAATATAGAGTGATGGTAACCTAGACATTCTGGATCCCTTAATTTCCATAATATTTTCTCTACTACCAGTGAAACAACAATGTTATTTTCATTTATTTGTAAGCACTACCATTTCAGGTGGTCTGCAGCTGGTGAGAACCTGTGAAATAGAATGACAGCATTTTTTATACTGGAATATTTTCCATTTTCCATTGTTTCAAGCTCGATCACGGACTGATGTCACTTAGGGAACCACTGAAAACTAGAAACTACTGGGCAGCTGTTTCGTCTTCATTCTTTGAACTCTTCAGCAGTATGTTCACAACTAAAACTTTCCAGTTGCAAGGCAACCACGTAAACCATTCAGCAACTGGGATCATTCACTGATTTAAGAATAAAATTTGTGCACTGTGGTAGAGTGTAATTCCATTATGGGTAAATTTTGTTTTGATATAGTCTCACAGTATTATACAGTAATGTTTACTGATGACGTTTCGAGCACAGTTTATTGCTCATAATCATATCAAGGTAATCACACGACTTCCTAAATTCATTTATATAGTTCCATTGTTTTTCACTTGATTTGATTAGTAGTAATATTTTCCATATTTCGGGTATGAGTGATGAATCATTCCTATTGCATGTGTTGGGTGTAGATTCGATGAACAAGGATTCAGTAATCAAGCTCTCTCGCTCTCCACCTACCTAGATTACTTTTTAGAATTTCAACCCTCTCCCACCCTATTGTGTGGTTGTGTGCTAATGCATGCATTGCAATTGCTGAGCTGTGAGGTCAACTACATAGGTCAAACTAGTAGGTCAGGGGTAGTCAGATTGTCAGAACATAAGAATTTAGCTAAGGTAAGAATGGTTGACCCTGAAAAGATAAGTAATTTAGAAAAAAGCTCGGCAATTGCAATGCATGCATTAACACACAACCACACAATATGGTGGGAGAGGGTTGAAATTCTAAAAAGTAATCTAGGTAGGTGGAGAGCGAGAGAGCTTGATTACTGAATCCTTGTTCATCGAATCTACACCCAACACATGCAATAGGAATGATTCATCACTCATACCCGAAATATGGAAAATATTACTACTAATCAAATCAAGTGAAAAACAATGGAACTATATAAATGAATTTAGGAAGTCGTGTGATTACCTTGATATGATTATGAGCAATAAACTGTGCTCGAAACGTCATCAGTAAACACTACTGTATAACACTGTGAGACTTTATGAAAACAAAATTTACCCATGATGGAACTGGGATCAATGGCCCTTCAGTTCCAACTTCTACTACTAATATATGCGACCACAAGCTAATGTCGATGGCGACTATTTTTCCGCACACTCGACTTCATCAGAACTCCAGCCAACTTCGTCCTGCAGACATCAGTGCATGATTAAACTTAACACCAAGCAGATCCCTAAAAACTAACTCTTGAACATATGGTGCTTGCTAGGGATTGGTTGGTTGCAGGACGAAGTTAACTAGACCCCTATCTAGTAAATATTCGTGACTGGAAAGGGCGCATGCACAAATAATCGCTGTGAACACCAGTTGGTGCCAGTTGTGCTAAAATCATGAATAGATAGATGTTAGAGTTCATGGACCTTCAAGTCTGGTCCTAGTGGTCTTTTCGTTGTAACCGGGAGTTCCTGGGTTCCAACTCCTGCGTTTTCACACCACTGAAGAGTACAAAGCACTAGGACAAACAGCTGTCTCCAGTACTCTTAGGTTTTCAGTGATTCTCTGCCTTATTAAACTTGAAACCAATCAAATCACTGTAAACTTTATCGAAAA